TCCACAAGAAGATAATTTAAAGTCATAATAATCCTCATGGAATGTATCTTTGAGCATGTGAAACCCATGCTTGAGAATCGAGGAACATAATAATTATATCGCCACCACCAAGAGAATCAAATAAGCGCGAAGCATGTATATTCTCCCGCAACTCTTCTTTAATCTAGACAAATAGAAAATAACATAAATTCTGGGGATTCTTTAGTGACCTTGGGTTTTATAAAGATGAAGAAAAAAATTATAGAGTGGGTTTTAGATCTGGAAGAGGGCAAAAAAACATTAGATGGAAAGGGATGAAGAAAAATGAAATCTTGAAAAATAAAGACGTAGGGATTGAAGAAAAATAATGGGGCTTGACGAGTTAAAGGAAAGGTGGAGAATGCACAATAGAAATTGAAGAGAAAGATATATAAAGTAGTTGTCTTGTGGGCAAACGGTGTAGGGATTGAAGAGAAATAATGGGGTTTGAGAAGTTAAGGCAAAGATGGAGTATGCACAATAGAAATTGAAGAGAAAGATCCATAAAGTAGTTGTCTTGTGGTCAAAACTGACATGTCACTACACCATATAGGTTTTTAGCTGCGTTTTTTAGTTCTATAGCGGTGTTTTTCAGCGCTGCTGAAAACTTTCCCAGCGTATGTAAAAACGCCGTAAGAAGTGCCCTACAACTAACGCCACAAAAGGTAGCGGCGTTTGTGAACAAAAAACGCTGCAAGAGGCGATTTTCTTAAAAACGCCGCAAACGGTCAAGCTCAATAGCGCCGTTTTTAAGAAAACGCCGCTAAATACCTAGACTTTAGTGGCGTTTGATTTCTAAAATGCCGCTACATGTTATGATATTTAGCGGCGTTTGTTGTAAAAAACGCCGCTATTAACTATTCATATAGTGCTTTTTTACAAACGCCGCAAATGTATGGTTATTAGTGGCGTTTACTTCACAAAACGCCGCAAAATAACCTAACTTCTGGTGGCTTTTATTTACAAACGCCACTATAGTTAATTGATTTCGCATATATCATTTTCTACTTTATTACGCAAATTTAATATTCTATAGCATTATCTAATAAAAATAAACTTAAAAAGTTTAATTATAACACCAATTATGTAGAAAAATAAATCAAAAATTATAAAATTAAATTAAAATGTAACATAGTTCAACATTGTTCACTAGAATTTAGTCTAAGTTCTTTATCTTTCAATTAAAAAAACATTGTTCACTAGAATAAAAACAATCTTCTAGTTGCAATTTGAATTGATCTGCAACTTCAGTTGATTCTTTTCATCATGAATGTACCTTCAATTCAAACAACAATGAAAACAATGGATTCAGAGACAATATATATTCTACTTCTTGGAATTCACAGATTCCCCTAGCAGCTTATACACATCACCTGGTTCTTCAAGCTTTTGATCCTGAAAAATAATAAATGGCATGGATATAATTAGACAGATAACAGCTAAAACAAACTCCCCATTTTTCTTTCAAGCAGGAAAGCAAGATTAAAAATTCACCATGATTAAAAATTTGCGGTGTTAGGGTGTGGTCCAGTGTTTGAAGTCGTGGTGACTTCAAAGTTGAACACATGATCTCCAGGTCAGATCAAGAACCATACTATAGCTTCATCTCTTAAGATTCTAAAACATGATCTCCATGTAGTTGTAGCCTTTACATTCCCACACTCTTTCATGAATAGTATTACTAATTTCCAGAAATGTTACGAAAAGGTACCTTTTCTGCAGGCCAGAATCTTGGTGAGTTATATGAGTTAAATCATTGGAAGGGGCATTATTTTAAAGCGTCCATTGAAAACATCCAGATTAAATTAAATATTAAAATACCTTGTTTTTAAATTCAAGAATCAAATTCAGCTTTAATTTTTGTGAAGAACGCAATTTACATAACAATTCAAGTTCCCCTTGCTTAAAGGTTTTCTCAAATTAAGTTCCATTTAATTAAAGATGCTTACATAAGACACCAATAAAAAATAGCATAGAATGAACTTAGTAGAATATTTAAAAGAAATAATTAATATTATATAAAGCAAAGAATGAAGTACCTTAGACCAGATATAGTCTTTCTTTGTCTTAATAAGCCTAATTCACTGGCTGCAACCGAGGTAGACCTGTCACCTTCAACCATTCTGTTATTTCTCAGGAATCTACTTCTTAGTAAAGACTGCCAAAATAGGAAGACAAGGGAGATAATTAATGCCAGTAAAACAAGTCCACATTTAGAAATGTAAACACCAATATGGAAGAACACCCACAAAGTTAAATTTGAAATTAAGAAGTTTATGCCAGATAAAAATGCCAAGCTAAACTACAGTTGCCTTCAAACAAATGGAACATCTAAAGGATACATAAGCATTTTTAATATTTCTAACAACCTTTTAGCAGACATTGGCAGCCGTGAGTAGTTCTTATAAAAAAATTGACAACAGTCAATAGTTAGCCTAATTGCCTAATTTCCAGAGCAAACTACAAGCTAAAAAAGTGACCTCGATATCAATAAGAAGATAAAAAGGTAAGTAGTTGGGATAGTGACGCTTCCATGTTGTACTTAAGACATAAAATCAGAAGTCTTCTCTTAGTTCAATGTAATAGCATTCTTGTTTTTCATTCAACATCTGTCCTGGTTAGTATTATGTATACACACTCTTTCTACACGTCATAATATCACAAATATTATTTCAAGAAATTTTACAGGAAAGATACTAATCCATAATGACACATCTAATACCGCTTTTAGAGGATGTATTAAACCTAAAAGTTGAGCTTTGTCATAGCAAGAAAAACACATGTAAATTACCAATGAGAATCTATAAAGACTAAAGCAAACAAATTATCATCTACGGTAAATATAGTTTTCTTCTCTTTTGTTTGATATCTAGGAAGAATATAAAATGAAATATGAACAATTAAAGACACCAACCACCAACAAAAAATGGCTCAACATTTTGTTACAACCCGATGCTCCAACAACCCCTGAAGCTCTGATTGCCTTTCTCTCTCTGCCTTTTTGAGCTTATCAAGCAGGGCCTGTCGACCATATAATTTTCGAATGCCCCTATGCAAATGCTCGGTTCGACCTTCAACATGGTTAACCAGCAATCCATTAAGAATTCGTTCAATTTGACCACCACCATCAGCAGCTTGCTCTTCCCTACTGTCCATTCAAGCACCTCTCCCCTGGCTATTCATTTGCACCCACTCCCTTATAATTCTGACTCTCTCCTGCTCAGTTTCACCAAGCCACTGGGCCCTTGAACTCCATTAAGCAAACTTCAATCCCTGTCACTTATAAATAAAAACAGAACTCGAGAAATTCATTATGAAACCAAAATTTGAACGCCATACCGAGATCATCGAATTCTCGCTCAAGAATAGCAAGATGCAATCTAAGACCTTGTAGACGCCCTCTAGCTGCAATTGCAATTGACGGCGGCATATGCAACCGTAGTTCAGTATGACCCAAAAGTGCACTCGCTGCTGCGGCATGGGCTTGTGCCTGAGCTTGAAGTTGTTGACAGGTAGCATACATTCTTAACATTGTTTCCATAAAAACACACCAACAAACAACCAAAGATGCATGAATAGAGTAATATAAAAACCCCTTAAATTAGTTCCAAAGAAGCAAATACCAAAAGAAATTTAACTACTTGGTGAAGCAAATTACCAGAAAATTAGGTGATATCTGTTGCGAATTCAAAATCATGAATAGCAGAAGGATTGTAGCAACAAGGAAAATATTCAAAAAGAAGAAGACAGGGAGAAATAATTAAGATAAACACAATGATAAACAAGTACCTGTAACGAGAAACGCAAGAGAGTGGAATTGACCGGACTTCCTGCATTGATACGCTAAGAACCGATTAACTTAAATCAAAACATACTTACTGGAAAAAATGAATTAAAAACAATAGAGAATGAACAAAACATAACTGAAAATCAAAAAGCCTGGCCTTTTAACCTCAAGCCAGAATAATCAGTCCGCCTCTCTGGAATAATCATTGGAAATCCACAGTCCGCCTCTCTAGAATAATCTCTGGAAATCCACTCTCTATATCTGATCTAGTTCCTCGGAAGACGAAACTCATCGTTTTAGAGATCCTGGAGCCGCGTTGAGAAAACCTAGGATCATCCTTAAAGGAAGGGAAAAAGGAATGGATTTGCCACCAAACAGCAAACAACAAACGGTGAAGGGACCGAAAAGGTTAGGGAAGCAGAAAAGGTGAGATCGGCGATAAGCAGAAAAGGTTAAGGAAAATGAAAGGTGAGATCGGGCTGGAGGGAGATAAAAATTTTAAAATTTGCGGCGTTTTTAAACTCAAAGGCCACAACTAAATAACCCTATTGTTGAAACCGAAAAAACGTCATTATAGATAAATTTTATTGTAGTATTTTTTTACAAACGCCGCTAAAGTACTAATCTGTCACGGCATTTGTTAAGAAACGCCACTATAATGAACCTATTGCGGTGTTTGTATAAAAACGCCACTAAAGTACTAAACTGTTGCGGCGTTTGTTGAAAAAACGCCATTATAGATGAACCAAATTGCGGCATTTTTATACAAACGCCGCTAAAGTACTACAGTTACTATTTTGTGGCTTTTGGAATGTAAATGCCGCTATATGTTTATAGTTAGTGGCGTTTACTCTCAAAACGCCGCTAAAAACGTCGTCGTAGAACAGTTTTGGTGTAGTGTGTCAGTAGTTAATGGGTTATATAAGTTTTCCGTCACACAAGTTAACGATGTTAACGTCGAGTGACCAATTTGTTATAAATTGATAATGTTAATAACCGATTTGTTATAAATTAATTGTGTTAGTGACCAACTTTTTAGTTTTGAAACTTCAGACGAGAAATCAAAAATTTACTCAAATATTAGTGACTATTTGCGTAGCTTACACTTTTTCTTTTAATTGACCAAGAACTCGGAAATCTGAACAGCCTGTAACTCTTTAGTCTTCGTCTTCTGATTTTTATTCTTAGATAAAAATCAATGGACAAGTTTGAAATTGTTGTTGTTGTGGTTGAGATTCTTCTAGACATCAGTTTGTCCAAACTTTATAAGGTTTTAACGGGCGTCGGTTTCATCCACCTCTCTCCGTTGTACTCCTCTTCCGCCGTCTTTTCCTCTCATCATGTCTCCCAAAACCTCGATCCAATTGCGCCGTGGAGCTCTCTTTCTTACCTTCGTCACCCTTATCGCTTTGGTTCTTTACAGCGCCTCTGATTTGTCGTCCGGTTCCTTTTCTTCCTCCTCTATCCCTTCTTACCTCAACGACTCATCTCTTCCGGTTAGTTAAATTCAAACCGAATTCATAGCAACGACATCTTATTTACTTTTTGCAAATTCAAGTTACGGTCAACGGCGTCCTCATAGGATGTTTTATTACTGCAGGAATCGACCCAAGAGCTTGAAGAAATTTTGAACAATGCTTCCATGGTGAATAAGACTGTTATTTTAACGACTTTAAATGAAGCCTGGGCGAGCCCAGGATCAATTTTCGAGCTTTTCCTCAAGGGCTTTGAGCTCGGAGATGGCACGCATAGGCTTTTAGACCATCTGGTGGTTGTTGCCTTGGATCAAAATGCATACAATCGTTGTCTAATTGTACATAAGCATTGCTATGCTCTTGTCACCGAGGGTGTTGACTTCCACCAGGAAGCATACTTTAGGACCACGCAATACTTGAAGATGATGTGGAGAAGGATCGATTTCCTCCAAACTGTCCTCCAGCTGGGTTATAGTTTCGTCTTCACGGTACGGTACTAATTAATACCATATACATATATATTTCTGGATCTGCATAATTAATGCATCTATGGGTTTACTTCTCCAGGATGCCGATATCATGTGGTTTCGTGATCCATTTCCACGCTTCTTTCCGGATGCTGATTTCCAGATATCATGCGACAAATTCTTTGGCAGATCCGATGATATGGAAAACAGACCTAACGGGGGATTTAACTACGTAAAATCTAATAATCGGACGATTGCATTCTACAAATTCTGGTATTCTTCAAGAAAAATTTATCCAAAATATCACGATCAGGACGTTCTGAATAAGATAAAGTCGGAGCCTTTGATCAGGAAAATGGGATTGAAGATACGATTCTTGGATACGGCTTACTTCGGCGGTCTCTGCCAACATAGTAGAGACTTGAATGTGGTATGTACAATGCATGTAAATTGTTGTGTTGGAATGGATAGAAAGCTACGTGACATGAAAATGATGCTTCAAGACTGGAGGGCATTCATGTCGTTGCCTTTGGATTTAAAGAACCAATCAATCATCTCTTGGAGGGTTCCTCACAGTTGCAGGTAACACAACTCCTGTATAACCTCTGTTAGGAAGAAATATGGTTTTCGTAATGATATTCTACTAGATGTAGTGATGGACTCTTTTGATTGAAACAATAATTGATCATATTTATTGACATTATTTTAACTGATGATTCCGATAGGAAACATTGAAGGTGCACTGGGTTTCTTGGACAGAGCCAACGCCCAACCTGTCGAGGTAATTTAATGATTTGTTGGATATTACTAATCTAATCATTAGGGATTTTAATCAGATTATTTGGGTACCTGTCAAGATGATCCATTATACTTATATTTTTTTTATAAATAAACTATAAATTTACTCATTAAACTTTACCATCTTTCCTATTTCACTCACTATACTTTAAAATTTTTAATTTAATAACAAAATTTTATACATTAATTTTTTTATCACTCAACCGTTAATTTTATAATACTGTTATGGCGTAGTTTATTTTATTATTAAAAATCAATTAGATAAGATTTATATTTAATAAATTATGTATCAATATTTAAAAAGTTAGATTTTAGGGTGAAAATCTTTAACCCTCAAAGCTTTATCCAGTAAGAAAAAAATGACCGAAGAAAAACCATTCATGGAGCTTGTATCTGCTTAGTCCCCTTTATCATCTCTCTCAGATAAAGAAACTATCATATAAATTTTTTAATGGGCATCTGTCACTTCTATTTTCTTTTACATTCCATTTTTTAATTTTTAAAATGAAATGCTATTGAACATCTTTAGATAATTTGATATACTAAAACGGAATTATTTTTTTAATAAATTTTAAGATTATATTCGATTCGGTTATTTGAGTATATAATTTTTTTAATTCAAAAACTCCATTTCACTCCTTACTTTATTAGAAAATTGAGTTATATATTGTAAATAATTTGAAAACAATTTTATATAGGGTTTCAAACTTTAATTGAGTCAAAAATTATTTTTAAACCTAACAGTACCGATGTTATTCATATGGTATCGATGCTAATAGCTTAAAAGTACACTGTAATACCAATATTGCTCATAGCAGTACCGATACTCCTTTGTTTTTGCAAATTCCAGTAAACTGTTTTGATATCGATACTATATCAGTATCGATACTCCAAGTGGGAGTACTGATGCTTCTCTTATGTTTTTGAGAGATTCAAATTCTATTATACCATTTTGGTGTCGATACTCATCTAGTACTGATACTACTTATAACAATAGTACTGATACTCCTTTTATGTAGCACTGATACCCTTATTTCTCCAATAGCTATATCTTTGTGATTAATGTAGATAGTATCGATGCTCCAAGCATGAGTATCAATACCCAAGGCGTCTGGGCAACATTTATTGTGGGAACCTTCATCCCAACAACTCTATTAACTATCACAACTACCCAAACGACTAGAATTGATTGAACGGGTATAAAACAAGATTACAAGTTATATGTGAAGACAATAGATCAAAGAGAGCCAAAAGCAATCACATAGAGTAAAAAATTCAAGTCAACATTCTCAAATATTTTTTCTGCTTTCAAAAACACTTGTGTATTTCTTTGTTTTTATTTTCTCAAGTGTTCTATTTGTTTTGAATTGTGCATACACACTCCTTGTAACAGATTTTTCAAAGTTTACTATTTGTGATATTTTCTTGGGAAGGGTTGTAAACTTTAGAATTTGGGTATAAGTCTAAGTGTGTTGTAAGAATTACACCATGTCCCAAAAGGTTTGAACAAATTAGTGAATTTGTTGAAATTCTTAATCTGAAAGCTAAGGTAGTGGGTATAGACTTCATTGAAGAAGTTGAGCCACTCTAAAATTGCTTGTGTCGATTTTTCTTTCTTTCTTTTTTTTTTTTTGCAAAAAAAAGCTTACATCAATCTTTTAATTGTCAACTCACCCCCTCTTTGGCATTTCATTGGTTCGATTGACTCAATAATTGGTATCATAGCTAAACACATTAGAAGGTTTAATGGCCACCTCTTGAGAATATCCCAAAAGTATTCAATCGTCGTTTAAGTCGTAAATGACATCTACTTCAAACTTCAACATTGGTAGTGATTTTCATCCCATCAGTAAGTCTTCATACTTCAATGGAGCCAACTATGCTTATTGGAGGAATGGGATTAAACTCTTTGTTCAAACAAGCGATTACGGGAGCATAGAGTATCATGATGAGAGGCCATACTACTCCAACTAGAGATATGAAGGAGTGGAATGAAGAAGAAAAAATAGTCCAGCTCATTGCTAAGACCACACACATTCTATTTTGTGCACTTGGCCCGATGAATTCGAGAGAGTGTCATCTTTTTCCAATGACAAGGAAACTTGGGATGAGCTTAAAGTTACACATGAAGGAACAAATAAGGTATGAAAAACTAAGACTAATCTTCTCAATCATAATTATGAGAACTTTAAGATGAGACCAGATGAAGATATCAAAAATGGGATGAACTTTAAAATGACTGATAGACATTTGGTTATCATAAATGGGCATAAAGGATTTAGAGAGATTATCCCAAGTGATAAGTTGGTTAAGAAGATGATCTATAATCTTTCTAAATCGTGGCAATCTAAAAAGACCGTCATAGTTAAAGCAAAAAATCTAAAAACTCTCATATAGATGAGCTCGTTGGGTCTTTGCTTAGTCATGAGATAATGTGAAGGAAAAAGAATAGTATGAAAGGAAAATGAAGAAAATAAAGAAATGGCAAAAAAAAGAAGAAGATTGGAATTTCATTTAAATCTACCAAAGGTAAGAATGATTCGAATGAAGATGGTGAAGATAAAGAGATGACAATGTTTACCAAACAGTTCAAGAGATTCATGAGGTCCAATAGAGGAAAAAGGTTTCAAAGAAATAAGGGCTTCAAGAATGAATCCAAAGTGAATGACTTGTTGTTTGTTATAAATGAAAAAGTTGAGGCATATCAAATTCGATTACCTTTAATTAAAAAAGAAAGGGTCTAATAAGAAGAAACATAAGGTGCACATTACTATATGGATTGATAAAGAGTGCTCCGATGAAGAGGAGTAAAAATTTGTGTCTCATGGCCATTGAGGACGAGTCTAAGGTAAGCTCTATTTCATCTACATTGAATGAACATTCTTTTGATGAATTACAAGAGGCTTATGATGATTTAGCCTCGATATTTGAGATTATGCTTTCAAAACATAAGAAAAACATTTCAATATTGAAAAATGAAAATGATCTCTTATCCAAGACCAACAATGAATTTGAAAGAAAGGTCAAGAATATGCAAGTCAAACTTGATGAGTTTGAAAAGAAAAATCTAGACTTGCACAACATGATTTCAAAGGTTCATATTTATCATCAAAAGAAACTTGATGATTTTAAGGCTTCTTTTAACAAAGTTGGATCAAATCGTTTTGAAAAAGGTCAAACTTCTAAATCCAACTATGTTAGAAATAACTTTTGACCGTACAAACATAGATGTCCCTAAAGAACCTCAAATAAGAAAGTTGTTAGAAGCATATGGGTCCCCAGAGGACTAATTGCTACTAAGGACAAGGATATCCTAGAAAAATGGATATATTAGGGGACTAGATTATTGGAAACTAATGTCTTTAAACTCAAAAAAACTTGGGTACCAAAAATAAAAAAAAATTAATCTATGTTTATAGGCGGGGGAGCATTACTACAAGGAACAAATGTAAGTGCAAATTCATGGTACCTTGATAGTGAATGCTCAAGATATGTGACTAGTGATAAGAATCGCGTCAAAGAGCTCAAGCCTAAAAGTGGAGGAGTAGTAACTTTTGGTGAAAACTTCAAAGGCCACATAAAAGGAATCAATTCAATTGGTAACAATTCTTCCATACTAATTGAAATGTGTTATATGTCAATGAATTAAAGCATAATCTTCTTATTATTAGTCAATTTTGTGATAAAGGTTATAATGTTATTTTTGAGTCTAATGGTTGCAAAATTATTGATATGACTTCTGACATGATTATGCTTGTTGGATACAAAATATGAAACATTTACAAGATGCATTTAGATGATATTATTTCATCAAATAAATGCCTAGTAGCTAAAGATGAAAATGATCATGGTTATGGTATAAAAAATTAGACATTCTAGAATGAGCATATTAGATAAACTTGAAAGAAATGATCTAGTCAGAGGTTTACCAACACTAAAATTTGACTTAGATAAGCTAAGGGTAAGAGTAAAAGAGTTTCCTTTAAATCCATTCATGATGTTTCCTCTTGTAGAGTGTTGCAAGTAATTCATATTGATATATTTGGGTCTATTAGGACTATTAGCTTGGGTGAAAAACAATATGCTTTTTTGCTTGTTGATGACTACTCTAGATTCACATGGATTCTCTTTTTAAGTACTAAGGATGAAGCTTTAGATAAATTAATCACGTTTTCAAAAATAAACCAAAATGGAAAAGGCTACTCAATTTCTAGTGTTAGAAGTGGTCATGAAATCGAATTTCAAAATATTGGTTTTGATGATTTTTGCAACTCTAGTGGTATAAGACATAATTTTTTAACTCCTAGAAACCCTCAACAAGATGGAGTTGTTGAGAGGGAAATTAAAATTTTAAAGAAAATGGCTAGAACCATGCATTGTTAAAACAATTTGCCAAAATATTTTTGGGCGGAAGCCACAAACACTGCTTATTACATTTTAAATAGAGTAATGATTAATCTTATTTCAAAGAAAACTACATATGAACTTTTTAAAAATAAAAAGTCTAACATTAACTATTTTTACCCTTTTAGGTGTAAATGTTTTGTTGTAAATAATGAAAAAGATAATCTTGACAAATTTGATGCAAAAAGTGATGAAAGAATATTTCTTGGATATTCTATGAACTATAAAGCTTATCGAGTTTTTAATAAAAGAACTTTAGTGGTAAAAGAGTCTATTCATATTTTTTTTCGAAAAAACCCCCCTCCTAGGAAGTATTCTTGTGTTGATTGCGATAGATGTATCATAAACTCAAATGAGGTTGATGAATCATTACTGAGAGAAGTAAAGCATGAGCAAAATCAAGATGTTCTTAAGAATCTAACTCTAGAGGAAAGGGAGATCTAATACCCAAGGGAATACAACTAAGTCAAAAGTGATGGGATTTTGGGTGATCCATCCAAAGGGTAACCACTATATCATTTCTTAGAAATACTTGTAAATTTGTAGCATTTATCTCATGTATAGAGCCTAAAAGTTTTAAAG